AATAAATCATCCTATTCAATCATTAATATTCATCCTTCCATTCATTGTTTACCTCAGTCCTTTTCAGGGTCAGGGAGTTATCAGGGGTGGGAGGTTTAAAACCCTGAACTGTTCACCAGTTCATCACAGTAACTACACCAGTTTAGTTTAGATTAACTCGAACCCTGGTTGTTTTTGGACTGCGGGTGCTAACGTTACAATTTGGAGAAAACCTACACCTACGTAGAGAGAATTTGATTCTGATTGTGAGTGGTTTTATTTTTTTATTAAACATAACTTTGGTTGTTTTGTGTGTGGGTGTTTTTCAAGTCAGTTACTACATGTTTCAAACAAATATTTAATAGTAATTAATTAAAAGATGGAGAAACAGCAGAGAGAGAGAGAGAAACACTTTCACATGCAGAGCATTTTCTTGATGTTTTGAATTTTTCTCCAAAGCAAATACACATGCCTAATCTCTGCTCAAGCGGCAAAAGTCCTCAGTGCGCGGAACAATTCCACAACACATAATTTGCCAACATATCAACTATGAATACAAATAAACCAGAGGAACTCTGCGGTGGGGTTGATGAAGGAATTTAGGGTGACTTTAGTTACTTAACAAAAGTTTTGCAGAGATGAAATACATGTAAATTAAAGGGAAAACTATTGACAGATCAATCAAACTGCCCCTTCCTCTTAACCTGCTAAAAATTATTATTACAAACATAGTGCAACATAATCCATTTCATGTAGCCAAGAAACAGAATTTAAGATTCAATAAACTTCAGCAAACCTACTAGAGAGTAGTATATAGTACTCTATATGGTCATGAGCAAAGCTGATGACATCACAAAGTTTTTTCTTAGCCAATAAAATAATGGTGATCATGGCTACCTATCCGGAAGAAAACTTTCCCTCCATATGAGTGGTCTACCTGACGTCACACTGCCTCAGAGTAAACACAATGCGTGAGGCTGCATGCGGTGGTTAAAAATAAAATTCAGCAAACAGTTCAATCAGGGGATTGTGTTTACTCTTTCTCCTGAATTCGTTTACAGAAATAAACTTGGCGTGCCGAAGAGTTTGTGTGAACACAGAGCTGATCTTTGTTTTTTTGTTTGTTTTTTTCCCCCTTCAAACGCATCCCTGGCATTCTAAGGGCAACACGTCATTATAGCTCTAATGGCTGCCACTGGTTTCCATCTGGGGTCTCTGGACAAGATAAATCACATGGTGTAAACAAAGATTTTCACTCCACACTATTGAGAGAGAGAGAGAGAGAGAAGCTGGAAATTAAATGAATCCTGTGAATAAGATACTTTACAACATTAGATGTATGTAAATAGTTATTTCCAGACCTAAATTAGAGTACCATATATATTTATGAGTTATTTAACCAGATAGGGCAGTGGTGGCTTAGTGGTTAAGGAAGTGGACTTGGGTCCGGAAGGTTCCTGGTTCGGAGCCAAATTACCACTGAGGTACTTTGAACATGGCACCGTCCCCACACGCTGCTCCCCATGCGCTCAAAAAAGCTGCCCACTGTTCACTTTGGTGATGGGTTAAAAGCAGAGGCTCGATTTGTCTACAAAACCTGTTTCTTTGCTGATGTATTAACGAAAAGTATCTAATTAAGCATTATTTTTGTTTTGTTTTGTTAAGTTATTTTTACTATTTTCCAGATCTCTAAAATTGATTTTAAAATAACCAAAAAGACCAACCGGCAGTATGTCTCTGTATTTGTGATAATACTGTGCTATTTGGGGGAGTTGGCCTTTCATGTTTTAATGGAAAAGGTTTTTCATGGACTATTTTTCTGTAGCTCAATAGATGAAATTATGAAAAAAAAAAAAAAAAAAAAAAAGTCCTCCAACCCAGACCTTATGAAACAGCAACGTTTTCAGCCAGAGTCTCTGCAAACACAAAGTGGACCAAAAAGACCTACGCTGTATACCATTCTCTTTTATTAAACCTCACATGTTTTAATACCCTGCTGATTCATTATTAGACTTTATATTGAGACAAACAATACTAAATAGTAAAGATGGCTTTATAATCTCGTGATATTTAGCCCCTGTAATTAGCCCAGAGACTACAGTTGGTCAGCGGATGTCAGCTGAGGACACAGTTCACACACGTTCACCTGCAGAAGACATGTGGTCACATCTGTCCTCAAACCACCTCTGGCTGTGGTTTTCTAAATGAGGTGGAGAGCCCAGGGTATTGGAAACACCATTTAAATACACACGTGTTGAAAGACATTCAGAACATTTGGTTTTGGTTGAACTAGCAGCGGCTTTTTTTTTCCGCAAAACTTTCCGAGGCAGCATGACAAGTTCAAATGTTTTGAATTCAGTCATTTAAATATTTCGCTACATATTTTGTGTACGCAACAGCCCGGTTCCAGAACCAGCAGAATCTAACACCTGAACAGGTCTGTGCCAAATATAGACTCAGGGAAATCTGTTTTTAGCCAACGCTGATGCTGCTGTTTCCTTGTAGTCTGCCCTTCATGTGGGTCTCTGCTCTGCATTTCACCACAGGTTGTATACACAAGTATTCATAGTATATCCTCCCATACATTCTGGGAGTCGGGGGGAGAGCAACGAGAAACAATTGGTGGAAGGGAACACAACAAATTCCACTTCCTAAAAGTGTGAACTCATCCGCAGCCATTAACCACATGGCCCTGCTGTAAGCAGATTGGCTTTGAAAGCTTCTTTATTTCAATTTAATCTCCCGTCCAATGACTTTCCAGCACAACTGACATCATCTCCTGAATGGAAGGTTATCAGTGCTGATAAGAATATCATCGGTCACATCGTTAGGCCACGGCTGGAGATTTAGACTGATGTACATGCATTAGCAGCATATATACAGTATATATATATACAAATCTCATGCTACTCATGACTCACAAGTACTCAATCAAACCATGGATATTAAGACTTGAAGATCACCTGAGCCTAAAATGTATACATTTTAAAGAAAAAAGAGAGAATTAAACCCCACTTTAATTCTGTGATTCGGATACCATGACGCACTGGAAATTGTGAGAGCCTCCTGGATTTATTCACAGCATATGAATGGTGTTATTTTTCTCTCCTCAAAGTCTCAAAGCTGCCAATAACACTAAAACCTTTCACAGGTCTGGAGGGACTGTTTGTTTACTGTCAGTCAACACCGTGAGGTGGGGATTTGCTCCCATGGCTGGAGAAGGTTTGTGCTCGTTAGGCAGGGAACGGCTTCATCAGAGAACTACAGTTGAGAAGGTCGAGCGCCGCCAGCATTTACAGAGGACGGAATTATAGACAATGAAGAAATGTTTAAAAGCCCAATTTGTCTAGAACAGTTAACTTATGCCTTGCATACCACAATCCACAGTAATGATGTTATGTTAGCCAGGCAGTAAATAATGAGGAAAATACAATTTGGCTGTAGAGGGAGATAACAGATCAATATTCAATAATCAATACCTATGAAGACAATTAACCTCGGACTAGTTGATGGTTGAAAATGTTTCTTTTTTAAAGCAGGTCCTTTTTGAGTTCTTACATGTCTGTATGAAGACTGCATGATGACCATTCATGTCTAAATGGTTATGGATAATCAGAGCACATCAGCCTGGATGGTCAACAGACTGCTGGCATGTGGAAACAGCTTTATGAAATATTAAACACTTCATTCATGACCAATAGGATCACAGTAATACTATCATTAAATACTGTACTATTCAAAGAATTTCATCTCTATGAATGCTTTTCTTTGTATGCAGTTTATTTCATAAATAATATGTGGATTCTGGAACTGAGCTCAGTGAATGACTCGCTGACCACAGACATGTGGCACCACAGATAAAATATTGGTTTATTGGTTTTCTTCGTGGGGGATAAAAATACCCAGCGTTCATAAAGTGATGACATCAGAGACACAGGTGGTTATTGAGTGTTGACTTCACATCCTACCTCTAATAGGTGGGTGGTTCAGGACAGTACGTCTGCAGGGCATGACTCAAACGTCCCTCAGTTGAAAAGGAGGATGAAGACCATGTCTTAAAGCATATTGTGTAGGATTTCATATTATGGGAGAATTGCAGGGCAAAACTACTAATATCTTTGCCATTATTACACTGTAACTATAATCCTATTTAAAAACGTTGTTTCTTTGATGTGTCGTATCGACACCTGATTGAACATGCAGCAGAGATGGTCAACCAACAGTCTTGACTTTTCATGTATTATAAAGTTACTCTGTTCAATATAAAGTTTGAGAAATGTATATTCCATTACTGTGGGTAGAAATGGAAATCTAAATATTTAAATATATTACTGATGCTATGTACACTCACTTCATGAATAATTATAATAACACCAGAATAGGCTTTTTGTCTCAGGGAGCAGGGAGCAGGAAAAGAATAACTGAAAGCAAAAAGTTAACAGTGAGTTTCAAAAACCGTAACGTCAACACTAATTGCTGCTAAATCAAGCACAAATGATGCAGCTTTAGGTAAAATACAAAGAAAAAGAAACACTAAATCTATGATAGTGAAAATATGGTTTTATAGGATTATACTTTTTTCACAAAAATACTTGTGAAAATCATATTATTTAAAACGAGTGAATTAATTGCTGCTACATAACTGCAGTAAGGAATATAAAACCTAATGAGCCCTGTTTCACTGTCGTCAGTGACGTCTGTATCACACTTTTTTTATTTTAAAAAATAAATATCTATGTAGTTTAACAGTTAGACACAGGTCAGCGACTCTAAATGTACGTATCTCCGAGAATACGTAAATTGACGTGGAACACAAAAAACATGAACGTCTCTGTTTTGTTTGTTGTTAAATGTCTCCGCCTAGTGGTATAATTTTAACGTGGCAGTTTATCCACGGACATCAGTTCCCTCAGTTTAATGGCTTCCGTGATTTGTAAACCAACCTTTGTACACAACGCGTTCTCCCATTGGTCAGATAAAAGTCCTGAGCGCATTCGAAACTGTGATTGGTTGCGTGAATGCACCACCAACCAGCAAGAGTTTTCGGAGTGTTTAGGTCGCCTTCAGTTTCTCTGAAAAAAAAAAGTATTTTTTATTGCGGCATTCAACAAGTTTGTGACTGAGAGAACGCACGGTGACTACTCCAGACTTAAATCGCTGGTGTTAGCCAGAGTAGCATTATATCTGTGTATTTGGATAAACGTTGTAGTGTCAACGTATACTCATCGTATCTCTGCTCGGGACGTTAGCAAGATGAAGTTTAGCATTCCAGATGTTAGGTTTAGCTTTAGCTCACTGCGCGCCTGTTGAGAAGACGTTCGGACACATAAACGCATGTCCGGCTTTGTTGTCTATGAGCTGCAACAACAGATCCGGGTTTAAATGTGGCGGTCTGGCATGTATTGTAAAGTGACGACGTGGGAGGCGCAGCACGGAGCCAACTGAAGGTACGCAGTGTTGCCTGGCAACACTGGTATGTTAAGACATTATTCAGTAAAATCGGAATAAGTTTAATTTGTGTGCTTGCTTTAATCTTTTCGATTACGTATATTTACCCACCATAATATAAATAAGAAACGTAATATAATGTAACCAAACATGTAGTGTTGCCAGATTTGTAATATGTAAAAGATTAGTAAGAAATTCTAAGTTTTACAAAATTTTCTTACATACCGAATTTTTTAACGCTTTAAAATTATTTCATTAGATTGCAATGTTATGGTAAAAGTTCAGTCATCCACAGGTAATAACCGTATTTTCTGCTGTAGTTGGTTGGGGTTTCTAAGAGATTTTGATAGCATTTTTACAGCTGACATGTATCTGTTTTGTTTTGTTTTGTTTTTTTCATTGTTTCTGAAGTTTTGACTGTAGTTAAAATTATTTCAATCACTGCTGCTGCCATACAAATGGACCTTCTGTCCGTCCACTGCCCCTCAGAAATTCTCCGAATCTGGCAACCCTGTGGATACCCAGTGACGGTTACGTTAGCCTAGCTAATACTGGGGCAGCCAGTTACCATAGTAACATACCACAAGCTATAATACCACGATCATTTTGAATTCAGCGAGTTTAGTCTTGTCCTGTGATCGTGTTCCGTTTCGTGGATGTTGATGGTGGGTTAACCTGTTGTGTTGTCAAAGATAGAGACTACTGTAAGGCATGGGAAAACACAAGTGTCCGTGGAGCCTCCTGTTAGCATGACAGCTGTGTTTACCGTCACCTAACGCTCTGTTGAGGTAATTAGATACTCACGTAAAGCCTGTCTTTATTTACCTATACCATTGGTTAAACGCGATCACTTAATCATACTTAATGTAGACTACAATCCTGTCATTCAGATGTATCTAGTATCAAGTGCTCTGCGCAGTGGCTTTATAACATACTAATCGTCTTTGCACGTCTTATTTTTAGGGATGGGAGAGCCGCCTGTGGTGATCCAGCAGACGAGTGGCAGGTAGACACGGTGCCCAAGCAATGTTGTGCTGCTGTGTACAATGAAGAAGATTTTCAGCTTCGCCAAGAAAAAGAAACACTCATCTGGTACCCCAGACAGTGGGAGCGTGTTATCCCTTGGCTATGAGCTGAAAGACAAGGACCTCGGGAAGGTTCACAAAGCTGCCTCTGTGGGTGATGTGGCCAAACTGAAGCAGCTTGCCAAAAAGAATGATATCAATCAGCTCGACAAAGAGAACAGGTACGTGGTGTTTGGTGCACTTTAATGCTGTAATAACCTCATAAAGGGTTTTTCTGTACTTTTCTTGCAAAGTACTTTTATTTAAATGAAACCTCTACACACACTACATATTTTTAAGTTTCTCATTTTTAATGAAACCTCTACACACACTACATATTAGATTATTTTTAAGTTTCCCATTTGGTGACAGTTTTGCGTGATAGTGAAATAGAAAATCCAACATTTGAATAGTGCATCTTTTGATGCTTTACATGACAAAGTAAATGTGGCAATTGTTGTAAAGAGCCTGAGAGATATGCACACGACCACCACATTGTTTCAAATCTACTTATGTTTCCTGGTCAGCTCAAATTACCATTTGCAATTAAGACTGTGTGTTGTTAGTTAAGATGTGAAGCAACCGGCGTAAATACTACAACATTTTAAAATGTGAAATGTTATGTTGTTCTGCAATTATAATTTGGGCATTGTAAACCAGTTATTATCTCAATTTTAACTATTACCTCATATAATATAAAATATATTAGCTTATTGCTTGTTGTCTTATATCAAATTAATTTGATCTATAACTGTCCAGAATATCTCACTAGTCACCAATATACTCAT